AATGTCCTATCTCCTGGTCACAAAGGATAATTCTCCTCTGTCAGAACCAAGAAGGTAAGAGATGCTTACCATGTTCATGGCAAAGAGAGCTTGCTTTTTTATTCTAGGTGTGCTGTGAAGAGAGACTGCTTTTCTTAACTAATTTTATTGAGAAAGAAATAACAATGAGACAGTTTCAAAACAAGTGGATAATTACAATAATTAATACATTGCATATTGTTGTCTTCATAGTAGTTATTCATAGTACAAGATGTAGACATGATATCTTGTCTAAACACTATTAGTATAAATCTCATTGAACTAAGAGAAAGCAGCTGATATCTATCCTACTTTGTATATACAAATATATGTACATGTATTTTTCACTACAAAATGGTCATTTATATCCCCCTTTTTTGGTTTGCTTATTTATTTATTTATTTGTGTGTGTGTGTGTGTGTGTGTGTGGCCAGCTTAGCCCACCAGGGGGCGGGGCTGGCTGGCATGTGGTGCTGGGGGATTGAACCACAGTCCCTGTGCTTTGCTAAAACTTGTTCTAAGTAGGTGCTTTAGACCACTGAGCCATCTCACCAGCCCTTTTGTTTGCTTTTGTCAGAGATGGGTATTCCATTGCCATTCAAACATTGTAGGTGTGTGAATTCAGCAAAATAATCCAATATAGTCCAGTGGTCCATAATAGTTCCACTAGATGATACATGATCTCAGGAACTGCAGCAGCCATTTTGACTTCATGAGGAACCTGAACTTTCAGAAGTGGAGCTCATGGAGATCGAAGCTGAGACCAACACCACACAGGTCAGATTAGAAATACTGGGAAAATTCAAATCCTTGCAGATAATGGCTGAACTGCTGAACCATGCCTCGAATCTAGATCAAAGGTGAAACTTTTTATTAGACTGGAAGAATAAGATACTGCTGATAACAAAAAATGTTAACCTACACATTTTCTTTTGCTGTTACCTGATGGCTGAAACTCATAAATCCCCTTGATTGTCTGAAGTGAGTTTTTCATCACTTGCAACTCACAGCCTTTTAGCTTGTCTACCCTAGAATTCAGAATCCATCTCAGAGAAAGGAGCGGTATACCCTAATCCCAGGGCTGAAAGCCCAGAGACTGTCTCTGTGCTTCTGATGTTGCCTTTAGTTCCTTTTACTACAGAAACTTGGGCAACACAGAGGTTTCAAAAGCTTGCAGTTGGGGTGAGAATCTCTGGCCTCCACTGCGATGTGAAAGAGCATGCAGTTGGCTAACCCAGCCCCAGCCGGCCCTGGCCACCTCCGGCAGTCAGTGTGTCCTGGAGAGAAGATGATTCTGATCTCAGATGATCTGATGGGTGAGGGTTAGTGGAGGAGCTCACCTCCCATGGGAGACAGCAGCAGCCTGTGCAGGCAACTGTGTCCGCTGAGGGCTTCCTGTCAGTCCTTGTAGGCATCACACAGCCCCAAATGAATGCCTTACCCTACCTTTGTTAGGCAGACAAGCACAGG